TCATCACTCGTGGGAGGGGACAAGGGGGTCGGGTGCAGTGTGTGACGGGTGGTAGTCGAGGGCGGGGACCTTGGCGGTCTGATCCTCGGCTACAGAAGCTGGCTCTTGGCATATGGAATGCCACATCTCTGGTAGGGAAGGAGCCTGAGTTGGTGTGTGAGGTTGAGAGGTTCCGACTAGATATAGTCGGACTCACCTCAATGCGTGGCTCTGGCTCTGGAACCAGTTTCCTTGAGAGAGGTTGGACTTTCTACCACTCTGGAGTTGCTCCCACTGAGAGGCGCCGAGCAGGGGTGGGCATACTAGTTGCCCCCCATCTTGGTGCTTGCACGTTGGGGTTTACCCCAGTGAATGAGAGGGTAGCCACCTTCAGCCTACGTGTGGGGGGACGGGTTCTGACTGTGGTCTGTGCTTATGCACCAAACTACAGTTCACACTACCCACCCTTTTTTGAGACCTTGGAGGGGGCGCTGGAAAGCGCTCCTTCCGGTGACTCCCTCTTTCTGCTGGGGGACTTTAACGCTCACGTGGGCAACGACAGTGAGACATGGAGAGGTGTGGTTGGGAGGACACGGAGGAGAGAAGAGAGGGGTGGAGCTGTCAACTGACCACTACCTGGTGGTGAATTGGCTCAGATGGTGGGGAAGGATGCCGGTCAGACCAGGCAGGCCCAAACGTATCGCGAGGGTCTGCTGGGAACGTCTGGCAGAGTCTTCTGTCAGAAGGTGCTTCAATTCCCACCTCCAACAGAACTTTCAAAATGTTCCGGGGGAGGCGGGAGACACTGAGTCTGAAAGGACCCTGTTCCGTGCCTCCATTGTTGAGGTGGCCGACCGGAGCTGTGGTCGGAGGATCGTCTGTGCCTGTCGTGGTGGCAACCCCCGAACCCGCTAGTGGACACCGGTGGTTAGGGATGCTGTCAAGCTGAAGAAAGAGTCCTATCAGGTCTTTTTGGCCCATGGGACTCCAGAGGCAGCTGATGGATACTGGCAGTCCAAGCGGAACGCGGCTCGGGTGGTCGCCAAGGCAAAAACCCGAGCATGGGAGGAGTTCGGTGAGACCATGGAGCAAGACTTCAGTATGGCTTCGAGGAGATTCTGGTCCACCATCCGGCGCCTCGGGGGGGGGGGGGGGGGGGGGGGGGGCAGTGCGCTATCAACACTATCTATAGTGGGGACGGTGTGCTGCTGACCTCTAGTCAGGACGTTGTGGATCGGTGGGCAGAATACTTCAAAGACCTCCTCAATCCCACCGACACGTCTTCTTCTGATACGGGCTGTTAGGTCCCTGTATGACCGGTGTCAGAGCGTGGTCCGTATTGCCGGCAGTAAGTCGGGCTCATTCTCAGTGAGAGTTGGACTCCGCCAAGGCTGCCCTTTGTCACCAATTATGTTCATAACCTTTATGGACAGGATTTCTAGGTGCAGCCAAGGTGTGGAGGGTATCCGTTTGGTGGACTGAGGATCAGGTCTCTGCTTTTTGCAGATGATGTGGTCCTGTTGGCTTCATCAGAACATGATCTTCAGCTTTCGCTGGAGCGGTTCGCAGCCGAGTGTGAAGCAGCTGGGATGAGAATCAGCTCCTCTAAATCTGAGACCATGGTCTTGATTCGGAAAAGGGTAGAATGCCTCCTCCGGGTCAGGGATGAGGTCCTGCCCCAAGTGGAGAAGTTTAAGTATCTCTGGGTCTTGTTCACGAGTGAGGGAAAACTGGAGCGTGAGATCGATAGGCGGATTGGTGCTGCATCTGCAGTGATGCGGGCGTTGTACCGGTCTGTTGTGGTGAAGAGAGAGCTGAGTCAAAAGGCGAAGCTCTCGATTTACCGGTCGATCTACGTCCCTACCCTCACCTATGGTCATGAGCTTTGGGTAGTGACCGAAAGAACGAGATTGCAGATACAAGCGGCCGAAATGAGTTTTCTCCGAAGAGTGGCTGGGCTCTCCTTTTTAGACAGGGTGAGAAGCTCGGTCATTCGGGAGGGGCACGGAGTAGACCCGCTGCTCCTCCACATCGAGAGGAGCCAGTTGAGGTGGCTCAGGCATCTGGTCAGTATGCCTCCCTGGTGAGGTTTTCCGGGCACGTCCAACCGGGAGGAGACTAGGGTTGTCACGGTAACCGGTATAGCGGTAAACCCCGGTAAAAAAGTTGACAATAAAAATAACCGTCCAGTTTTTAAAAAATTTAATTATCTCGGTGGGTTTACCGTGGCCGCGGTTTCAGCTTGGTGACCCTTACCAGCCACCGTCGCTTCAGCTGAAGTTCCCGCGGCGCGCACACGCACTTTTTAGTTTGCAAAGTTACCAAAACTTTGAAGCTGAAATAATGGCCGAAGGAGGAGACGGCAGCGCCCAGGACATCCATCAGCCCTCAAAGAAGACTAACTCGGAAGTATGGGCATATTTTGGATTTCTGAAAAATGCTGAGGGACAGTTAATAGAAGACGGCTACAGTAATCCCTCGTTTATCGCGGTAGATGCGTTCCAGACCTGGCCGCGATAGGTGAAAATCCGCGAAGTAGGGACTCCCAGCATGCCCCTCGCGGGGATTCCCTCCACGTCGCACCTACGTCACAAACCGCAGCTATAAACGGAAGTCGCCTTTCCAGCTCACCACTCAGTCATCTTTTCTTCAGATTCATGATCAGAGTTTCCAACCTACCGATCAATCCAACGAACTATCAGCTCATAGTAAGTTATCTTACTTACTTCTGGAAAGCCCGGCATTTCCGTGTCACTTCGTTGACGCTGGAACGCTCGGGGGTTTCCTAGATCAGCCGGCGTTTCACCGACGCTATCACTTCCGCGTCTATGAAACCACGCTCCCTATTGAATTATCGTACGATCACATTCTCTTTTTGTGGGTAAAACTCAAGAAAAAAATTTTTTTACTTGTTTTTTTTTTAGTTTTATTACAAAAAGTGCATTTTATGATGAAATTGATGAAAAAAAAACAAGAATTTCTTGATATTTCGCATAGAAAAATACCGCGAATCAGCGAAAAATACCACGAATCTGCGAATTCCCCCTGAAAAATGCTCCAAAGAAAAAATCCGCGAAGCAGCGAATCCGCGATGAACGAACCGCGAAGTAGCGAGGGATTACTGTATCCCGTTTGCAGAACGTGCAGGAAACAAGTGTCTGCAAAAGGCAGCAACACTTCGAATCTAATGGCACATCTGCGTGACCATCACCCACGTCTCTACAGCCAGTGCAAGGTAAGATAACATTAGCATTTTAGCTTAAATGCATGACGCGAGGACTTTTGGCTGAGGGAGAATGCAACGAGTCACTATATACTGCAGCCGCAGCGTCCTCTGCCAGCATTTAAACCGTGTCACGGACACCCTGTTGCTGGATGAAGCATCGTATTTGGTGATGATGAAGAGAAATATACAATTAGTTCCTTGTCATTGATTTGTTTACTTATTCAATGCCATTTATACTTGAACATTTGGATTTGATTACATAGTGTAGTAGTTATTTTAGTAATTTGTTTAAAGTGGCTATTTATTTTAAATACATATTTTTTTAAGGTTGACTTGTACAGTGCTCAAGTCAAGTGTGGACTGGAGTTTTAGATTTTCATTTTGATAATGAAGAAAACAAGTATATGAGAAAACAAGTGGTGTTTCTTTGATTTGTTTACATATTGTTTATGTTTTGAATGTTTGGATTTGTATAATTTAAACCTGCACTGACTACTGTAACATGCTCCAGAAAAAGAAGCTATTTGTTCCTTGTGAAAAGTTGCACTTTTGCTAAGGCTTTGTGTTATTTTAGGTTTAATAAACACTGTTAAACATTTTCAAAACTATTTCAGTTTGTGTAGAACAGGACTATCAATGCTTTCTGAACATATGCAACACCGTTTAAAAAATACCGCGATAATACCGAAAACCGTGATAATTTTGGTCACAATAACCGTGAGGTTAAATTTTCATACCGTGACAACCCTAGAGGAGACCTAAAGATAGTTCCAGGACACGGTGGAGGGACTACGTCTCTCACCTGGCAAGGGAACGCCTTGGGATTCCCCCCGGAGGAGCTGGCCCAAGTGGCTGGGGAGAGGGAAGTCTGGGCCTCTCGCCTTAGGCTATTGCCCCTTGACCCAACTCTGGATAGGCGGATGAAAATGGATGGATGGATGGATGGATCACTTTGACATTTTGAAACCCTGTTTCAATATAGCAGCAACACATCTTTGACTAGCCGTAGTTCATCAGTCCTGTTGGAGATAATCTATTTTCCCGAGCTGAGGCTGTTCAGAAGGCTATCTACAGTAGGGAAATAAATATGTATCACATTTACTTAGATAGATGCTTTAAAATGACTGGAAATAACACCCCACCACCTTTGATACAACATGCAACAAATTGCACACAGCATAAATCTATTAGTTGGTCTTTAACTGTGTGATCGGGACACCTTCATATTCTCCTCTGGTCTGGATCCACAGGATTAAAAAATAGCGCCAGTGAGTGAAATCTAAAACCAGCCGTCAAAGGTATCTGATGTCATGAAGCACTCAAATGAGTTGTAATTTAGTCCCAGAGGGGGGCGGGTCCCGGATGATCAGAGCGACGTGGATATTGACCATTCAGGAGCGCCTGTCTTCTCTGTCTGTTCTGTGCCAAACGGACCGCTAGTTCATGTGTGGGTGCGCGCTGTGACGCTGAAATAATGTACTTTATGATGGCTAATAAACTACACATAATGGCATGAAAGCCCCGGGTTGATCCGAATAAATAAATAAATGAAGGGGAAGCGTCACGCGCTAAACAACGTAGGAGAATATGAATTGGTCCAGTGCGCGTGAGGGGCGCTACAAAAGTTCCAAACGGAGCTGAAACATCGTATCCGCGCGGAGCTTTAAGATGAAAGAAGCCGCCGCTCAGCGGATGGGGCATCTTATTACCCCGGCTACCCTGTTGCATAACATTTACAGACACACAGCACCTTAGCGACAAGAGACACCTTCAGGGTGAGTTGCCTTTGACTCACCCGACCTCCCGTCCTGAAACGCCGGAGCTGGGTCCCTCACCAACCCGCCTGACAGTGAGGCTTGTTAGCGGGTGTCTGCGCCCAGACGAGGAGATAAATCCGCCGCCTTATGGCTAGAGCTTAAAGGAAGGCGATAAGAAAACTCAGTAGCTCCGCTGAGGATGTGTCGAGCAGTCCCTCCCCCCTCTCCTCCTACCCCTTAAATATCCACAGCGAGTAAAAATAGAGCTCCTCTGCGCTGTTTACCGGAGCGCACTCGGTCACACGCCGAACTCCTCCGGTTCCACAGGAGAGTAGTCAATATGGCTGACGGACTCACCGTGCTGCTGAGGCGTGGTGAGCCGAGTCCTGCAGATTCACCCCCTCCCTCACTCCTCCTCACTCCCTCCCTCACCCCGTGACTCAAGCTGCAGAGCTGCCTCATCCAGGAGCCCCGAACTTTATCACACCCGAAAAGGACCGCTCTCTGGGAAATGTGTCGGCCACGTTTTATTTTCACCCTGAAACATTTACAGCACAGTATGTGTATTTAACCTGTGTCTAAAAATGACTGTAACCCACAACAAGACACACTTAGCTGAAGATGCCCTTCATATTTTTTTTTCCATTTTATTTATAAAGCACATTTCTACATGGCCAGTGGCGTGGCCAGGTCTTTTAAAATGGGGTGGCCCAAGTAGTGCACTTCTTTGTGCACGGGTGGCACCAATGGTTATGTTTTTTTTTCTTTTTTACCCCAAGCTTTTTGTGGACAAGTCTATTTAAAGGAAATTCAGTGGGGTGGCCAATCAGATTCCAAGGGTGGCATGCGCTACCCCAGGCCACCCCCTGGACACGCTCCTGTACACGGCCCAGGCCACCCCCTGGACACACCCCTGGACACGGCCGAGGCCAACCAAAGTGCTGCACAGTAAAAGAGCAACAAAATCAACACACGGGAAGAAAGTAATAAAAGTATTACAGTAACTACTATAAAATAAAATAATAATAATAATAATAATAAAACAGAGACATAGTAAAATGCTAACTAGGCTGAAGTAAAAGCCAAGAAATAAAAATGAGCCTTCAGGTGAGATTTAAAATCAGAGAGAGAGGGGTTATTCTCACTGCTAGAGGGAGTTGGTTCCAGAGACAAGGCGCACAGACCATGGCACAGACTGAGAAAGCTCGTTCTCGTGTCCTCACCCGAACACTTGGGACCTGTAACAGGCGGTGGTCTGCTGACCGAAGAAATCAACCAGGTACGTAGGGCTGAACCAGCTGAGTCAAGTACAGAGGAGCATAAAGATAGAGTGACTTAAAAACAAGAAGTAAAATTTTAAACTAGATGCGGTAGCGCAGCGGGAGCCAGTGCAGCTGCTCCATAATGTGCTGTCTAAATGACAGTTAAATGTTACAAAACATAAAAGGCTTTAAGACAGGGAAGGTTTTACAGAAAAAATACTAATGCAGTTTAAAGACCACTTTTTCCCCCAAAAAATATACAGTTCTTATGTTACATGTGATCAAATATATGTTTTTAAGAAACATTATATATTTTATTTTCTTCTTTGTTTTCTGTTTATAAACAGTCATGTGGTTTTAAGCTATCTCCACCTGTGTCACCTTCCAAATTCTATTTAAAGCAGATTTTTAACAAAATTGCCAAAAATATATATTTTCAAGCTCTTTTTTTTTTGTCCATTTGTTATAATATTGTGAAACAGTTGAGTTCCAACAAAAGATGGTGGGGAGAGACGTGCGCGTCCAAACTACTTCTGCAGAAACAAGTTAGCCACAACTCTGACAGTACGGAGCGTTTTCCACACACTTAACGTGATTTTTGTCCTTTAAGACAGTGGGTTCCAATCTGGGGTCCATGACCCCCTCAAAGGAGTCCCCACAAGAATTGGGGTTCCCACAATTTTGCCTGTGCTGAGATCATGAGGTTACCATTTATATTTGTAAAAATTACATTTTCAAACCAAAAGCCAGCTTCTGACCAGATTCAGAAAAGGGTGGAATGCCTTCTCTGGGTCAGGGATGAGGTCCTGCCCCAAGTGGAGGAGTTTAAGTATCTCTGGGTCTTTCTCACGAGTGAGGGAAAGCTAATGCGCAAGATTGGTAGGTGGATTGGTGCTGCATCTGCAGTGATGCGGGCGTTGTACCGGTCTGTCGTGGTGAAGAGAGAGCTGAGTCAGAAGTCGAAGCTCTCGATTTACCGGTTGATCTATGTTCCTACCCTCACCTATGGTCATGAAGAATGAAAGAATGAGATCACGGATACAAGCAGCCGAAATGAGTTTTCTCCACAGGGTGTCTGGGCTCTCCCTTAGATATAGGGTGAGAAGCCCGGTCATCCGGAGGGGGCTCGGAATAGATTCGCTGCTCCTCCACATCAAGAGGAGCCAGGTGAGATGGCTCGGGCATCTGGTCAGGAGGCCTCCTGTACTCCTCCCTGGTGAGGTTTTCCGGGCACGTCCAACCGGGAGGAGACCTAAAAGGAGACCCAGGACACGCTGGAGGGACTATGTCTCTCATCTGACCAGGGAACGCCTTGGCATTCCCCTGGAAGAGCTGGTCCAAGTGGCTGGGGTGAGGGAAGTCTGGGCCTCTCGACCTAGGTCACTGCCCCTGCGACCTGACTCCAGACATGCGGAAGAAAATGGATGGGTGGACATTTTAAAATCCCTAAAATGTTCCAGATAGTCTACCAAATCTGTATAGGAGTTAGTATGTCAGTATAAAGTTTGTATTTCATCACTTTTAATGTGTGCCTGTAGGTATGAGTTGGGCTTGGGGGGAACTAGCTTGTCTTAGACACAGGCCAGGGAGGTCCTCAAGGAAAAAGGTTGAGCACCGCTGCTTTAGGGAACACTTTTACCCTATTCTGATTTCCAGGAATCATCTCCAGGCTCCATTTGTTTGTTGACCCACAGTAGGAGTCTGAGCCTTATACTTTTAAATCCAGGATGATTGTTAGATTAACCTAAAGAGATTATTTTAACTGCTAGTCTGACATAAATAAGACATCAACAAACAAAACATGCATTTATAATATCTGAGAATGCAAAAACTTCACATTAAAGTCCCTCTAGATGTCACACACACTGGTACGTGTTCTCCACGTTTGACCCATCCCCTGGGGGAGCGGCGAGCTGCAGACATGGCTGTGCTCGGGAACTACTGGGTGGTTTAACCCCCCAATATAATCCGTTAAAACTGAGTGTCAAGCAGGGCGGCATTGGGTCCCAAAGTCTTTGGAATGACCCATACATGCTGAAACAACAATCTCCCAATCAGGGTGGACGCTCATACCACCGGGCCACTGAGCTGATCATAGCTAATTTAAACCACTACAAAAGGACTTCTTAACTTGTTAATGCTTTAATCAACTCTGCATAGAGACATGACTTTGATGCATGATTGCTTATTGCTAGGTTTCACTCACGTGACCCTGAAGTTGTGCGAAACTCAAATGGGAGCAGGAAGTGTTTTGCTCCACTACAAAACAGCGTGATGGATGAGAGAGAGTATACTAAAGCCTTAAATGGGTTGGCACAGACGTGATGTCCTAACAAAACTCATCTTCGGTTATGACCCATATCGTTTCAAAAAGTTGGACTTCACCCAGCTTTCTTCCGCTGTATACCTTTTATTACACCACACTGCAAGTGAAAACCTTTTACAAGCCTACAGTCAGTTTATTTCAGGTTGGGTTAGCGTTTTAGGATCCAGAGAAGCTTTAAATGGCTGTCATATTTTATTTCACATCGGAGCTGCTTAATTCCTGAAGAGCTCAACATTCATCCATTCATCACCACCTGTATGTTTTTGTGTATAAACAACTTGAGAGGAAACATGTGTGTCATCATTGGGCCATGAGTCACCAACATGCAGCTTGCTTAACATAAGTCATGAGATAACGTGGAGGATACGCAGTGGCGGATTTAGCTATTTGGGGGCCCAAGGCGAACACAGACAGAGGCCCCCTTACACTAAATTTTCGACAATCTTACCTTTAACTGGATTTGCGAAACTCTCCCCTCTTCTGACATGAGTTATTTTCCCTTTTAGTCCTCCTCTTTTTTCCTGTCTTTCTCTCCCTTTGAGCACCTTCAATATTTGCTCTGCTTTCTTCTTCCTGTCAGTGCTGCTGTGCTTTTGCCTTTCTTTTTTTTTCTATTTTCCATTTTGATCTATGTTTTCCTCCCTTTAAAAATTTTCCATTGTCTTTCCTTTCTGCTTCCTTTTGATGTTTACATTGAAAAACGACGTCACTTTTGGAAGTGAAGATAAAAGCTATTTTAAAGCAAGCTGCTTCTTTCTCTTATTGGAGCCACTAGGATAACTCCATTTCATGCTTAATGTTTTGACTACTGCTTTGAGTTTGTTATGAATGCTCCCACCTCTCTTCTTCTTCTTCTTTTCCTTATTTGTGGTCTTATGGCACTTGACAAACAACAATTTGGTGCATTACTCCCACCAACTGGATTGGAGTGGAATGACTACCAATCGATTCCTGTTTGTGAATTGGTGTCTTAAAGGAATAGTCCCTTGTGGGATTAAGAGAGGAGTGCTGGTGGTCAGGGCGAGGGGGCCCCAGGCGGCCGCCAACCTATGCCTAATGGTAAAACCGCCACTGAGGATACCTTCACACGCTTATTCGTTTAGAGTCTTGATCAATACCTGTAAACAAAGTGTTCTCAGTCAGCATCAGTCATGGATCCTGTTTGTAAATGCTTATGGACCGGGTCCCCCTCTGCTGTGATAAAAGATACAAAACACATTATTTAATGTACATTTTGCATCTAATATTCATCAAGTGCACATGTAATTCTTTATCTTTGTTCAGCTTGCTGACTCATCATCTGCTGCTGCACCACTGCAACCTCAAGTAGAAAATCAACAAAGCCAGTTGAGTCTGGAGGCCAGGAAACAACAACAAACATCACAGGGGGGCTGATTCAGCAGTTTGCATTACACACCTGTTTGAATCTCCCACATGAACAAAATCAGCTGCAGAGAAACTGACAAAGCTGCAGAGCAAACATGCAAAAATAATCTAAAGGACGAAAGAAGGATGGTTTAAAAACACGATGGCATTTATCTGAATGTTGTGAAGATCACAGGAGGGTTGTTCACTGGTGCTTGGTTGGCTGGAGCTGGTTGGTGACTCAGTTAAAAGCAGGCTCATAATCAGCTGACCGAGGGGGGAAAAGCCTGACTTTTCACTTTCACTTGTGTGTTTTCAGTCAGCA